GGGACAGTGAGGCTCTCACTCCCACAGGGTGGGGGGGGGGGGGAGGGGGGGGCTCTCCCCCCCAGGGGGGGGGGGGGGGTCGCTCCCACAGGGACTGGGGGGGTGTGGAGAATGTGTGACTCGCTCCCACAGGGAGTGGTTGAGAGAATTGTGTCGATACCTTTAAGGAATGAAAGGATATAGCAATGGGGTGAGATGTAGCGGGGAGGAGGAGGAGCCTGTTACAGAAGCAGTTGGGTGGGCCTAAAGGCCTGGCTTTGTCCTGTGCTATGTAATTCCATGCACTCTGTAATTGATGTGTGTGATCAGTCAGTACAGGTTTACCGAACCAGCCAAACCAGATTTCTGATGATGTAAATAACACTGTAGCTTAGGGACCAAGACAGAAACAACTGGAGAAACTCAGCAGGTCTGGCAGCACCCACAGAGAGAGAAACAGGATTAATGTTTTGAGTGCAGTGATCTTTCTTTGGAACTGAAGAGGTCTGTGGAAGGGTGGAGTGTTTGCTGAGGAAGGGGTGTTAGGGTTTGCATGGCAGGCTACCTCACACTCAGGGACATTTTTACAAAGAGAGCAGCGATGTGTTTCCAGGCTAACGTTTCTGTCTCAGGCCTGCTGCTGTGCTCCTGCGAAGCTCAGTGCAAACTGGAGAAACAGCAGCTGATGGTCTCCTCAGGGACCTCACAGCCCTCAGGTCTCAGCATTGAGTTTAATCATTTCAGAAAGCAAATACCTCCTTCCTTGTTTGCTCCCTTCCCTCTCAGCGACAGTTCCATTCTATATGGGCTGCTCCCAATACAGGGCAGCTAGCTCACTGAAGGACCAAGTATTTTCTCAATGAGTGACATTAGGAACCTGTGGGGACTCCATGTACAAAAATTGTTAAAAACTAAAGGGCTGGTTCACATTCACTCTCAGTCACACTCTCATTCACACTCACATACACACTCACACTCACACATACACACTCACACACATACATACACTCTCATACTCACACATACACACACACTCACACACACACATACACACTCACACTCAGACATACACACTCACACTCACGCACACACACAGAGACACACACACACTCACACATTCACACACACACACTCACACATGGACACTCACATTCACTCACGCATGCACATGCACATTCACACACACTCACACACACACAGAGACACACACACACACACATTCACACAGACACACACACACACACACACATTCACTCACACTCACACACACACTCACGCACACACACAGACACATTCATGCACACACACACACACACGGACACAGACACACACACACGCACTTTCTCACACACACACAGTCACTGGCTCTCATACTTACACAAATACTCAGACTCACCCACATGCACACAAACACTCACACACTCACAAACACACCCACATGTTCACTCTCAGACACACCTAAATGCTCACACTCACACACACACATTCACACATCACACACACTTTTACTTACACACATGCTCACATACTTGCTCACACACACCTGCTCACACACGCACGTGCACACACATGTGCACACAGTCACACCCATACACACAGTCACACAAACACACCCACTCACTCACACACTCTCTCACACACACACATAATCACACACACACACACACACACACACACACTCAAAGGCTTACACACACACTCACACACATTCTCACCCATGCACAAACATACATTCTCTTACATTCACACGCACTCTCTCACGCACACACTCACACACTCACACACATTCTCACACACATATTCGCACTGACGCACACTCATACACACACATTCTCATACACACATTCTCACACACACACATTCACACTCACACACACACCCACACACACACATACACGCACTCACACACATTCTCACACACACTCACACGAAAATGCATTGACACACAGGCACACGCACACTCACTCAAACACACACTCGCACTCAGACGCACACAGATACAGACACCCACACTAAATGGGCAGCTTTTGGGAGCAAGAGCCCTGTTTGATTTTCACCCTGGTTCTCATTGTTCAGTTCTCAGTGCAAGGATCACCGTGTCATTGAGTGAGGTTAGAGTCTGACAGAGTTGGTAACAACACAGTTTGGCTTCTGTGCTGTGTGACCAAAGGGTTGTTTCTCTCCCCCTGGTGCAGTTTTAATGGAACGCTCCAATTCCTCTTCTGGACCATGTTTGGGATGGAGGAACCAACTTCAGTTGATCTCACAGAGTTTGTGGTGGCGGAGTTTGTAGGACGGGTTCTGTATGGGTTTTTCACCATCATCATGGTCATAGTGCTGCTCAACATGTTAGTCGCTATGATCACAAACTCCTTTCAGAAGATTGAGGTAAGGCTGATCATTCACAGCAAGAGTGACATTAATGTTTGAGAGAACAGCAGTACATGTGGAACCGGTATCTAACCCTGTGCTGTCCCTGTCCTGGGAGGGTTTAATGGGGGGATAGTGTAGAGGGAGCTTTACTCTGTATCTAACCCCGTGCTGTCCCTGTCCTGGGAGGGTTTGATGGGGGAACAGTGTAGAGGGAGTTTTACTCTGTATCTAACCCCGTGCTGTCCCTGTCCCGAGAGGGTTTGATGGCGGAACAGTGTAGAGGGAGCTTTACTCTCTCTGTAACCTCATGCTATCACTGTCCCGAGAGGGATTGATGGTGGAACAGTGTAGAGGGAGCTTTACTCTGTATCTAACCCCGTGCTGTCCCTGGCCCGGGAGGGTTTGATG